TGTTCTGTATATCAAGGTAAAGTTCCTCATATGATGTAGTCTCTGTTATATGTGTCAGCAAACCACCTTATATGTCATTCGTCCATTTTTATGCTCATTGATTATTTTCATCTAATTCAAAATCATCAAAATAAGAAATCGGGAGTACAACCATCATATCTGCATGGCAAAACAGAATTTGTAGTTTATTCATTCAAAAATCCGGCTAACAGAGGGAACAGAAACTTGTTAAAAACAAAAAAAAATTATATTAACAATCATCTAACAGCTTAACCGCCAGTTGTTAACAGCCGAACAACCAGCTATTTTATTCAGTGTCCGAGCGGTTGTTTTTTCTAACATGCAGGTGAATTTTTTTCCATTCGTGCTTAAAAAAATTATACATCTGCTAAAAAAATTTATCTCAGTCAAATCTTAATTTATCGATTAAAAACGTATACACATTTAACTAAAATAAAATTAAACATACGTAAATATACTTACCGATTCGAATTGATTGATAGAAAATAATTTTTTTCTTTAGCTATCGATATTTTTTAGATTTTCAGATTGATAATATGAAATTTTTTATCTGTGTTGGAGATGATTTTGAAATTTTAAGTAGGGAATGTTTGATTTTTATTTGTTAACTAAAGGGTAGTATTGTCTTTTTAACAAAAGCATATTTTGTAATTGTTTTATACACTTAAGGACATTTTTGTATTTTGAACTCAAAAAAGCCAATTTGAAAATATGTAATGAATGAAAAGCCAATGTGGAAATATGGACATTTGATTATGTCATTTTTAAAGGAACCCATTTATATAGTAGGGAAATGAAACCGCCACACACATTATCTATTTATTTATTTTATTTATTTCTTTTCACTATTAAAATCTTGAATATGATGGAATCATGAAATATCTCTACTGGGACATACCAATTACTTTATAAATTAACAACTTGAACGGAATATTTGAGTCCAGTGGACCCACTCATTGACATTGTGCATTGCTTTGTCCATATTATATGCAATGTCACACCTTTCTTTGTACATTTTGTTGTTTTCTAGTATGCAAAGTATTAATTTCATAAACACCAAGATTTTTTATAAATATCACGACAATCATGTGATTAGTAGTTAACGATTTCATGGACAACCTGACACAATAAATAGTTTTTCATAATTAACAAAATTTTAAATTATTATAAATCTCATTTATTATCAGTAAAAAGAAATTTTATGATCATAAATAAGTTTGATCAACGAAATAAATTTAGATATTTACTAGAGCATGTTTGGCTAAGATTAAAATCTGATTAAAATTGAAAATATAGTCGTTATTGGATCTCACTCGTAATTAACATTGTCAACATAACAGCTAGTTTTTTAATTTAAATCTGATTTTAATTTCTACTGAAGACGCCCTATGTAGCGAAGTTAAACTTGGTCGATGTTTGGTTTAGCTTAAAATTGCATTTTTTGTAGATTTTGATAAATCAAATAGGGAAATGAAACCGCCACACACATTATCTATTTATTTATTTTATTTATTTCTTTTCACTATTAAAATATTGAATATGATGGAATCATGAAATATCTCTACTGGGACATACCAATTACTTTATAAATTAACAACTTGAACGGAATATTTGAGTCCAGTGGACCCACTCATTGACATTGTGCATTGCTTTGTCCATATTATACGCAATGTCACACCTGTCTTTGTACATTTTGTTGTTTTCTAGCATGCAAAGTATTAATTTCATAAACACCAAGATTTTTTATAAATATCACGACAATCATGTGATTAGTAGTTGTGCTAAAGTACCTGTTGGACTGTGTCTGTATCATAAAATACAATTTGTGTTATTTGAAAAACTTTAACTTCGAGAAGTTGCTATCTTATTTACACTCCGTTTGGTGGCTGTTCGCTAAAATTATATACCTCAAGTGTACGGGTCGCCCTCAAGTAATAAAGTTGACCTTTTGAGTTCGGATTGTCGATCCCTCGATGAATGTTTACTTTCGATTACACAATTTTGATCAATTGAATTTTAATAATAAAAATAAACACACAATAAGATTAGATTTTAGAAAATAAGGAAAAATAAACTAAAACTCTACAAATAAGAAAGCATACACACTTGAAAATTTTGGAGGAAATCGTGGTTATGATTCATGGTTTCGCTTAACCGTCACTTAATTAATTTCTCTACAAGTCAATTAATAAATTACTCGTTTACGATATTAGACCCGATTTTTCAAGTTTAGCTAATCACCTCTCTCGAGCGAAGCTAACCCTAATTGATTGGTTTAACATACTATATCTTTATGTCAATTCAAACCAAACAATCGCATTAAATCTTTGTGAAAATAGTTCAGTGGGTCACCTAGGATTAGTGGTATATCTCTATACTCAACACAAATCAAAGGTATTTACTATTTGGTTTAAAATGTACAATTTTCTTTTGAACGAGGTACAAATCACTAAACTCAATCATTTGATGGTCAAATAAATGAAAGACATTCGACACAATAATAAATACACCTGAAAATAAGCATTTTAACATTAAAAGGCAAATATTAAAATTAATTAAAGTTATGTTAAATTTCAACCATAAATTTCAACAATAAAATTTAGCCCATGTTATATTAATGATAACAAAGGAGAATATTTGTCCAATACAATACAAATGATATAAAATAATAAAGAAAATATAAGATTAAAGATAAAACATTTTTTGGTTGGATTTGCTTGAATCTTGATTTCATCAATTCTTCTCCACTTTTTTTTTTTATTCTCCTTGTTGTGCTCTCGATTTTATCCTCAAAATACCAAGTAAAAAAAGAGAAAAAGGAAGAAAAAAATAATGAAAAATGACAAAGGAAGGGAAAAATAGCCGTCTCCATTCCTTGGAACCCATTTAGAGTTTTAAAGTTTTAAAACCCATTTTTCAAAAATTGCAGCACAAACCTCTAAGATAATTGCACATAAGGTTCCTCAACTTTGATCTTATACAATTTGGTCATCACATTTTAACTTTCATATCGATTATGCTATTCGTAAATTGCATCCAAGATCCTTCAACTTTCTATTTTGTTCACTTTGGTCCTGAAATTCACAATTTTGCATACTTTTAGTCCATTTTTCCTCATTTTGTCTTGTTCTCTTTCCTTGGTTGATTTTTACCTACAAAAATAATAATTACATAATTGTAAATAAAAAATCGCTCACTTTTATCAATAATAAGCATATTTAAGTATTAAATAAGTGTGCAAAAACACATTTTTCAGTGGCCATTCTTTCAAAAAAAATGCATTCTCACATCACATCAACATTGTTTACTACAGTGATCATGTTCTCATTTGAAATTGAATTTCTTTCATTTTTACATTTTTGCCCTTCTACCCTCTTTTCACTTTGACAACTAAAATAAAGAACCAGGTTTCCAAGACCATAAGCTGCTGACATTTACGAACTCAAGTGAAAGTGAATTTTGGCCACTTTGAAAGACGTGTACATCTCAATTATAAGACATTGTCAATTGCTTGGCTTTAAATAGATATGAATTTCACCGTATAAGAGGAAAATTATTAACGTCAACATATACATCAAATTATTTCTCCACGTTCGTACAACACTAGACATGTGCAAAATGTTACGTTCCGCAAAAATTACGTCATCATTGTTACCGTGCCATATAATCGTGAAATCTGTCTCACTCACTTCGCTGCATTTCAGGCGAATTCATTTCGGCATGCAATTCGTCTTCGACATTATGTAGGTCTACTTCGAATGCATCATCATCTATTTTTGCTCTCATAAACGCCTCATCCACAACTCTCGAGCGACATAAAAAATTATGAATATTCATCGTTGCGACAACATCAACTTGGGTTTGAAATGAATAGCTAGGCATACGGTTAAGGATTTACCATCTTTGCTTCCACACACTAAATGCAAGTTCAACGACGTTTCTACACGAAGAGTGTCTGTATTTAAACCTCTCATGAGCATTCAAAAAACAGCGACGATGACCCGTTCCATCATCGTTGAACTCTTGAAAATAGCACAATATATCTAATCCTTTGTACGGGGCCATATATCTCGGTTGATGAGCAAACTTGGAGTCAACCAAATAATACTTACCCCGCGCTGATAACGAGAAATGAATTTCTAAACTATATATAGCACGAGCTAGTATTCGAGTGTCGTGGGTATTCCCGATGGTACTAGCAAGCATGAACATTTAACACAAATTAAAATCACATGTGGTCAACACATTTTGCATTGTCATTCCTTTTCAGCCTATAAAATTCACCCACTCGTGACGCGATAGCACAGCTTTCACATGTGTTCCATCAATAGCACCAATGTAATCCTGAAACAAGGGATCTTAGTCTGGTCCGACCTATAGGGGTCTTCGCCCTCGTTGTAGTTTGGACTCGGTTGTATTAGACGTGTCGATAATGCAACGATAACATGAAGAACCTTTTTAAAGTAATGGCATACTATTTGCAACAAATGATTGAAAATCATTGTCACCTGACGGTATCCATTTCCATGCGCTAATATGCACAAGAACATTCCAACTTGCTCGTATATGCACAAGAACATTCCAACTTGCTCATAAATATCAACCTGCTAGCTGTTGCGTAAGCCGTATTCATCACGCTGAATATGTGCAAAGTATCATAATAGTTGTGGGTACATTCGAAACTCTTGATAGGACATATGCTTGTTTTCTTCCATTGCTTCCTTCATAAACATGTGACCATTTCTTAAAAA